AGACTGAAGATAGTGTGAATGGATCAGAAACTAAATTGTCATCTCCCACAATAATCAGTGCCTAAAACTAAAATATAGAAAGTAGCAACACAGGTATGTCATTTAGAGATACAGAGTAATATAGCAAATTAATCAGCTAAAATATATGAAAGTGGCTTCCTCAGGGGAATGGAGTATACGTATAGGTATAGGTATAGGTATAGGTATAGGTATAGGTATAGGTATATGGTGCAGGAGATTTTTAGTACTATTAAATTTATTATGTCCCTATAAAACTTTGATAAACATATAATTTAAATTTAAAAATTGATTGATCTTACTTGTAATAAAACACACAAATTAAAACAAAGTAAATAATATCTTTTCAGTTTTTACATATTTATAACATTTTATAATGTGTTGATGAGAATTTGTGAATTTTCAAATAGGACTTCTAAAAGTAGACATTGGTATAATATTTCTAAAACAACAATTTAGCGGTACACATCAAGAGATTTTTTAAAATCTTTATTCTGTTTGACCTAGTAATTCCCCTTTTATAAATCTCTCTTAGAGATCTACTTAGGAAACAAAAATTGGACAAAAGTACATCAAAATGTTCACAGTGATTATCTCTGAATGGTAGAATTATAGGTGATGAAACTACAATTTTTTTTATCTCTTGCACTTCTCTGCATTTTCCCAAATAATCTATAATGAAGGCTACTTTTATATTCAGAAATATAAACATTTTTAATTTTTACAAGCCTTAGTCTTTATAACAGTTATTTATTGAGACAACACCAGACCAGATTAATAGTGCCAAGACTGGAATCTGGATGAAGGCTACCAAGGCCATCTGGAAGTGTGAGTCATTCCGGTGCCATGGACCAGAGGCTCCATGCAAGTACTAGCTGTGTTGACAGTGACTGCTGTTTTCATCGTTGCTCAGGAATCTCCCAGGAAAAAAGGAGAGGTCTTTCCTATTGAATGAAAAGGTAATTCCTGGAACAGAATTCACAAATCAATGAGTGACTGGAATGGATTTTATTAAGGTAGGAAATAATGGTTAGGATGATGGTAGGAGCATCACTGAAATATCCCTGCATCCACTTTTACTCCTTTAATTGCATCTTCTAACTTGCTGGAGCATTAAGTTCTCGCATGGAACATGTTTGCCGTTACTGTTCTCTCTTTGTTGTCCAATGCTGTGAAATCTGTTCATCTTGATTTACCAACTCTCCTAACACTGAGTTATTATAAAAGAGGTATGTGTTTCAATGACATGCGGAATGGAGAATGCATAAGGAGAAAGAAGGACTTAAATTGATTTTTAGAATGCTTTTCTTTGTTTATCCATTAAAAGAGGAGGCAGTGAGTCAGATTGTTTGGGTAATATTGTGCTCCAACTGCACAGAGCTATTCACCATCCTCCAAAAAACCATTTTGATTTTGACCACTTGAATTTGCACACTTTGTTCTTTCTCTTTGGAACACCCTAGCAAACTTTTTCTGTCTGATAAACTCTACTTGCTCTTCCAGACTAAGTTGAAATGTTCCCTCCAGTGTGAACACTTCCATGATTTCAGAAAATAACAATTCTAATACCTACAATTTAATGAGCTGTCTAGTCATTTAGCCAATTCTCATACTATCAGATAAGCAAGGTAGTTTTATCCTCACTTTACAGAGGAAACTGAGGTTTAGAAGACTTGAGTAACTGGCTCAAGAGCACACAACTGTATTTGAAACTCAAATCCAAAGCCAGGACTTTCTGTCTAAGGCCCCTTTTTGAAATCTACATCACCCACTGATCATTTTGTTTTATGTTTATTTACATATTTATCTTCCTCACTGGACTGAGTCTTCCATAATAGAAGATAAATTACCCTTTTTTGGGGGGTAGCATTTTACATGTAATGTTAATCAGATTTAAATTTTTTATTTAGCATTCCTTGTTTGACTCTGTTCCACAGGGCAAGATGCTTACGCAGAAACCAGATGTGTTTTGTCCATCACTGAGTTCAGCACCTGTCACAATGTCTGCCACAGAAATTGCCCAAAATATATTTTTGAATTAATAAACAAATTAACTAACAAATACGTGAACAAATGAATGAAGCAGAAAGACTAAGATCCAGCTCCTAACAAAATTATACTTTTAAAAAAACTTTCAGTTTCCATTGTCTGAATAGACAGTCATTTCCTAAGCGCATGTGACATATACTACCATTATCAACAATTACGTTAACCCAAATGAAATCTATACCCTAAGGGAACCTCAGCATGCTGGCAGTATGTGTTAGGGGCAAGCTTTATGTTTTTTATGAACAAAGACACTGAGACTTCAGAATACTCATCTATAGAGATGTCAGAATTTGTATTTTATACATATCAGCAATTTTTAATCTAGAACTCAAGTAGGCAGTTTAAGCTCTGGATCTCAGCCAATTGGGTTCATGTTTCGTCACTACAGGGTCTACAATAGAACGCCTGTAGTCTTAGGAAGTTTTCATAAATGTTGAGTTATTAAAAACTGACCACATAAGAGTAACATAGCCCCAGCCAGGTGGCTCGGTTCATTGGAGCATTATCCCACACACCAGAAGGTTGTGGGTTCAGTTCCCACTCAGAGCACATACCTAGGTTGTGGGTTCAATCCTGGTTGGGATGCATATAGGAGGCAACCAATTAATGTTTCCCTCTTACATCTACATTTCTCTCTCTCCTTTCCTCTTTCTCTCCTACAAAAAAAAATCAATGAAAAAACATATCCTCAGATGAGGATTAAAACAAAAAAAGAATAACATGAAAAAAATTTACATAATACAAGGTGCTTAGCCTATAAGTAAGTTTAATGTAATTAGAGTAAACTAATATGTATGTGTGTTTACTGGGACATCTGTAATAGTGTCAACAATAAAAAACTTTAAAATAAAAGAGAAGAGTTGACATATCTGTAGAACCATTTCCCATAAAACTTTTAAATAAATTATATAATTATAAATAAAATAATAATAAATTAGTTTATTTGATAACTTTAAAAAATCTTAAAGTTTAAAAAGTATGCTTTTTGTGAAGTAAGTCTATGTCCCATTTGTCTTTTAAAAAAAAAATAAAGCCCATGAGAAATAAGATGTAGCAGAAGGTATTGAATTATTTCTTCTGTAACAGCATAATCTGACATCAGGTTTTAAATACAAAAGAATAGGCAAAGGGATAATGACACTGACTTCAGTTCTAACCCAAATAAAGCAGTAAATGAAATGAAATCAGTTTTTCCTCTAATCTTATGAAGGAAAAAAAAGTGTCATATGGCAAACCCATATGAATCCAATCTGTCTGGTTTATTCATCCCTGCAGTGACATTCAGACTCCAGAAACTGTATCAGAAACCTAGTCAATATTTCAATGCCATCATACAGAGTAGAAATGTGATAAAGTAGGTTATCTAAAGATAAATGGAAAAATATCCTTATGTGAGAATTAAAAAAGAGAGAGAACCAAACTGAATTAACAAATAACCATGTTTTGTGGCATATTGAAAATTCACTGCCAGTAGTTTTATGGTTCATTGTGATAAAATACTGGGGCATAGGTAGCCTGTAGGACCTGATGCCATACCTAACCTTAGTACAGTCAGAGTTGGTTGCTGCATGGTTTATTTTAAGAGCTGTGTAGTCTACCTAGCAGAAAGTGGACCAATTTGAGCTTGGCAAGGATTTTTCAAGGTTAGCCCACAGAACTCACTGTAAAGAGTAACAAGAATGTAAATGTCACCTTGGCTAATGGGTCTACCAATTTGACTTTTAAAATAAGAAACATTTCTAATATATTATATTAGCAAAACTTGATATTATGAGGAGGACCTGAAATATAGCATATTTGGGGACCTTAAAGCTGGATTTTTACTTCTTCCCAGATTTTGTCTCTCTCTTTCTTCACCCTCCACCCTCTCTCCTAGTGAAACCATATATTTTTCTCATGTTTCTTTATTAATGACAACAATAACAAAACAGTTAAATTCTGGCCACAATCCAGGTCCAATTTTTAATTTAAATACCCTTTTCCTTAGAAGTACCTTGGCATTAGTTTCTTACTCCCTCACCTTCCTTTTTGCATTTCTGAATGATATTAATCCACTTAAAATAAGGATTTCAGCCCGGCTAGGGTGACTCAGTGGTTGAGTGTCGACCTATGTACCAAGAGGTCGCCAGTTTGATTCCTAGTCAGGGCACGTGCCCAGGTTGTGGGCCAAATCCCCAGTTGGGGGCATGAAGGAGATGGCCAATCGATGTTCTCTCATCAATGTTTCAATCTCTCTCTCTTTCTCTCTCTCTCTAAAATCAATAAAGAAAAAAATTTGTTTAAACAATAATAATAATCAAATAAGGATTTCATATAAGTTCTTTGGTTTATCTCTTCCCACTGAGGTTTGTCAGTCTGTTCCCTACTTCCATGATTCTGGATCTTTTGGTCGACAGTTTATTTTGTTCATTATGTTCCACAAATAAGTGAGATCATATGATACTTGTCTTTCTCTGACTGGCTTATTTTGCTTAGCATAATACTCTCTAGTTCCCTCCATGTCGTCTCAAAAGGTAAGAAATAAACCAAAGAACTTATGTGCATATATGCACAACCAATCAACATGGACCCTAGGCCAAGGAAGGCAGGAGGGGGATGGGAGCAGGAAGGAGGGCGTCAATGGGGAAAAATGGGGGACATCTGTAATACTTTCAACAATAAAAAATAAATTAAATAAAAACAAAGTAGCAATAAACATTCTAACTTTTTGGGAAAAAATAAGAATTTCAAATTTATACTAAAAACTGATATTGTCTTATTCTCACATTTTTTCAACTTCCTTCTTTTTCATTCCCTAGATTGCTGCCACTGCCAGATAAACTATATCAAATTTTATCTTCTCATCTATAATTTTTAAGGCAATTATTAAAATTGGCTCTCTCAGAGGCTGATACTCTAAGTGTCAGAATAACTTCAGGCATAAAATAGTTTGAATCAATTTATTGGTTGTTTTTTACATGTATCCATTTTATAACCTGCTGTGCATAACAGATTACTTTCTAACCTGACCCTGCCCTCGCCTTGGTCCTGGCCCATCTCAAAAAGTGACTAGCCTAATTACTGGTTGACACTTAGACGCATGTCTTCAAGTTTGGTCATCTAAAGGAAAATTTGCAGAGGCATTTGTAACAAAGACATTTAATTAAGAGCTCATGTTGACTCAGGAATATTATGTACAGCATTGATCCATAGGGTAGCTAATAAATTCATTATGCTGCAAATTATCAGTGACATTGGCCCGTAAGAGTGAAATTTGTCTCAACAAGAATGTTGAAAGAGGCAAGGCAGTGAAACTTCCATTTCTACTGGGAGTGAACTAACTTGCCAAATCTGGACCATCCATCATAGTAAATGTGTTCAAAACAAATCATAGATCTTCTACAGTTCATTGTATTCATCAGCACTCGTGAAGTCAACAGTCCAGAGTAGTCACAGTCACTTTTGGCCAGGTTTTCAACCATCTGTGGTTTAGGCAGTATGCCTCAGCTGTCTTTTTCAAGGATGTGTTCTCAGGTAGTTGAACTCCATGAGCCAGTTTCAACCAAATCTGAAAAAACAAAAGGGCAGCTTGTTTATAAGGAAGGACATTATAGTAAGTTTTCAAAATTGTTGCCTTAAAAACCAAATCGTCTAAAAAGTCTCTTAGAATCACTTAGAGCTTGAATACGTGAATAGAAGACTGTATTTCTCAATTACGTACATGCTAGCACTCATTATGGAGGCAAAACAGTACAGTTAAGTGTCACTTATGTGTATCTCTGAGTGTATGAAGTGTGTGTACATGGGGAGGGCAGGAAAGTGTGCTCAAATATAAAATAATTTAATTATTCATGGTCACTGTTCTAATTGCCTTTTTAAAAATATGTTTTATTTGGATAACTTCAAACTCAGTGGAAGGCTTCATGAACAGTACAAAGAACACATGCATATTCCCACCCAATGTCAACATTCTGCCTCATGCGCTTTATTACATTCTCTTTCTCTTTGTGTATGCACACACACACACACACACATGCACACACACACGATTATTATTCTCTGAACCACCTGAGAGAAAGCTGCATAGATCATGGCGCTTTATCCTCAAATGAACACCTCCCAAGAACAAGGACACTTTTCTATATAATTACAATACAGTCTCAAACATCTGATGGCCTTTGACTATTTCAGCATGACATATATATACCTTTTTACCTCAAATTCTAATCCAGATACTGAAACTGCTAGAAGAAACAGCTCAACTAGAAGAAAGAAAGAAAGAAAGAAAGAAAGAAAGAAAGAAAGAAAGAAAGAAAGAAAGAAAGAAAGAAAGAAAGGCATCTCACTAACATTTTAAAATTACAAACATGTCATGTTAGTATATGGGAAATGACTAAATGCTGGTTTTAGGAAGAAAAAATGATTTAATACAAAAAAGATTTACCTTAATAGATCTTACCTGTTTTGTACTGCATCTTATCCATGGCATTATGGTTAGCTAGCATTCATTAGCACAGACAGAACATTTTATCTTTCTGTATTCTTTATCTTCTTTTTCCTTTTATAACCAGATAAACCAAGAGTTTTAAGGATTGACGTAGTTTCTACTTGGACAATGCCCTTCCCTTGCTGCCTGACAGCATGCAATAGAGAGATGTAGGGGCCCTGCTGGTGTACTGAATGGGTTGAGAGTGATCAGGGGTGTGTAGGTAATCATCCCTTCACAAATATAGTGGTAGGTCTCTCCCAAAAGAGTTCTTATAACTATTTTTATTTCCTATCTTAAATTTTTAATGCAGGTTTAGACTGCTGTGAACAAACAGAATTAAGATTTATGCTTCACAATCTATGCACTTAATTTTGGTAATTAACATTTCTGACAGTTGCAGTTTTTCCCAGAGACATCTTGAGCATGCATATGCTTCTCCATCCAAGTATATCCAACAATATGTCTATGTATTAGTGGGTCTGAGTGAGGAGAATAGTGCTTCAGAAAACTTGAATGTGCAGCAAGATTCTCTGTAGGGGGAGGGCCTGATGCTAGAGCAATCTGTGAAAAGGGGATCCTTTGGTAACTATGGAGGACATTATAGAGGCACAGTCCTGCAAAATCATTTAGAGGCTCTATGTACCTCCAGTGACAATGAACACACAGAGCTGGGCCTCCAGTGTGTGCAAATAATAAGTTTACTACCTCAGGCAGACTCTTCATGTATTCATTCAACAGATTTATATAGAGGAGCACTACTGGGAATTGGGTAATAAATAAGATCCCATGTTCTATAACCTCATGGAAGCTACGCATAAACTGTTTTACTTCAAAACATTGCACATGCAGAGGTATTTTTGCTCTGACCTTATGACAACAGTATGTCATTCTATAAAACTTTCAGACATGACGTGGATGCACAAGAATTTAGTTTTAAAGCTATTGAATTTGCCGGAAGAAAGAACATTGGCTTTAAATGACAATTCACGAAAAGGAATAATTTGGAAAAGACCCTCCAGCTCTTAATGGTTTAACAAGAGCAGTGTGCTCAGAGACTACTGAGTCAGAACAATGTGTGAGCATCCATGTGTTGAAGAGTATAAGTGAGTGGTGGAGGGGGTTGAGGGAAGGAGAACCTCCCCAAAATGACAGTGTTCGTCTTCATGGCAGGGAAACCACTTTTTGGTTCATCCCAGTGGCTTCCAGACTGGAATGACTTCTAAATATGACTGCAAAGACAAATATCTGAGCCCTAAGGGAAGCTCCAGGGTTGTTCTTATAGGGCTTTGTTTAGCATATTTTCTAGAAATCATTTTCAGAAAGTTCTGGAAGCTCTAAACTAGCAATCTGTTACTACAAAATATCTTCGAATTGCAGTAAGATGGCAGTCAGTCCTCCAGTAGCTAAATCACAGCCTGGCCTATGTGGACACACTCCTTTTTTTTTTTAAATCCTCACCAGAGGATATTTTTCCATTTTTGTTCAGATAGAGTAGGAGGGAAAGAGAAGGAAAGAGAAAGAAACATCAATGTGAGAGAAACACATCAACTGGCTGTCTCCCACACAACCCCGACCAGGGCGGGGGATTAACCACAACCACAAGGTACATGCCCTTGACCAGAATCAAACCCGCAACTCATTGGTCCGTGGACCGACACTCTAACCGCTGAGCCAAATGGGCCAGGGTAAACACAATTCTTTTTGACAAGACTAAGCTATGGTCCTAGATCAAGAGAAATACGAGTTTTGTTATTGGTCTTTATGTTAGTTGGGATTGTGTGTCACTGTGAATAGAGATTAAAACAGAAGTAGCTTAAAGAACATAGATGTTTATTCTCTATCATGTTAAAATCTGAATGTAAACAGTCTAGAGCTAATGTGACAACACTGTTCCATAAAGTCTTCAAGGGCATATGCTCCTTCCATTTGGAAACAATACATGTATGTGCCCTTTATGCCTAAATTCAACTCATGGTCCAATATGGCTGCTCCTGCTCCATCCATCAACTTCAATTTAGCCCATAGGCAAACAATCAATAAATATAAGATATATGACAGATGTCTTTTAATGAAGGTTCTTGAAAACTGCACATAACACTTCTATCAACCCATTTATGAGAACATAGTTGTGTGACAACACCTGGCTATACAGGAGTCTGGAAGTTTTCTCTGTTTTGAATGTTATCTATTAATACAACTGATGAAGAAAATCATCAGTATTAGGGGACAGGTAGCAGTCTCTGTGACATTGCTGCTTATTAATAATGTTAAATGTGTTTTAAATATTTAATGTCAGTCTGCTGCACTGTATTTGCAATGTCATTTGTAGTATGGTCTTTTACAGTATGATCTTAGTAGCTGCAGTGTTCAGGAAAGTTGCATTAGGTTTCCTAGAATATTTTTCCTGCTCTGGGTAAGGACCTAAAGATTAAATGTACTAGATTAATCACTAATTAATTTTAATGATATGTGGCAGTAGATTGCCTACCTCAAAGCTTGCATGTCCACCTGGAATTAGGAAGGGAGAAACTAATAGTCCAAAATAGAAGTAGTTTGTATTCTCAGTACTGTTTGATACTCATCATGTTCTTACCAACCCGTTCCCTCATCTAAGTTTGAATCACAGGTACATATTGAACTTAAGGTGGAAAGAGTCCTGAAGTCTCACATAAGAATTACTCTGCTTGTTCTAACAAGATTGTGTCCCAGCAGGCATGCCAAAATTTTATAGCTACAAATAGAGAGATCTGAAAGGAGAGGGGTGGAGGAAATCATTTCTTTTAACTCTACTGCAGTGTCTTGGATTAAGGTAGATGATGGTTACCATTCTGCTGACATGAGTGAGGCAGACATGTCACAAAATAGGGAGAATGAGCAATCACAGAGCTGATTACATTTCCAATGGGGTTTATGGAAGCACAAAAACACAATGTACCAAATGATCCTAAAAGTATGAGGTAATCCAATTTGTTCCATCATTACTAGAAATTAAAGCCAAGCACAATTACATGCCGATAGTAAAAAGAACCCATTCAAGTGCCATTGTTATTGAGTGAATAAAGCGAGCTTTCTGATTACCTTGGGTAGCCACATTTTAATTTTTGTCTGTCCATTTATTCCAAAACACATTAGAGGGCCTTAACTGATTTTAACAAAATGAGCTACATTATTAAGGTGCGGTTTAACCTGAGAACCTTAAGTTTAATTACTAGATTAGAGTTTTCAAATGGGCATATCTTCTACATTTCAGCAAATTTGGGGATGTAATTATTAGGGAGTCTTTGTTTCTTTGTGTTTATTAGATGTCCAAGAAGACAGGAATGACCTAAATTTAAAAAACTGATTTTTTTGTTGTTGTTGCTCCACCAAGAGTCTATCGAAAGAGAGGTGTCTGTTCTTTTAGGATTGAGCCCAAAGCTCTAGAATGCAGTGCTTGGGAGAGGTGTCTCCACAGAGAAAGCCTGGACAGGGTGGAATGCCCAGACTTCCAAGGGAAATGGAGTTGGGCAGCTAAATGATGTGTGATGAACTCTCCCATAAGTAGAGTGTCCATGTGATTAGCATCCAAACCAGGGCACTTTGTGGAATGAAAGGCAATGCTATTCATAATTACATTGGGATAACAGACATAAACCTGGTAAATGCCAAACCAATGGGATGTGTAGACCCCCTATCCATAAGAAACAGATACCTAAACAAATAAACATAATAAAGTTTTTAGGTACCCAGAGGAAAAAATGGAGAAAAATGGAGGCAGAGGTCACTCTACCAGGGCTTTCTCTCCCAGCACAAAATTCAGTCTAATCATATGATATCTTGGACTGTGAGTTTTACAAGACCCTGAACCATATTAATATTCCTCTAACTATAGTTACTGATTCTCAGATGTATTAGTAGCTCTGGAAACATTACAGAAAGGTAGCCTTAATACAGAGAATGCTCCATGCATGTTCAGTTGATTCAACAAACATTTGGTGGATACCTGGAATGTGACAGGCAGTGTTTAGCACCAGAGATTGAAATATAAATTTGATATGGTTGCAGCCCTGGAGAAATTCAGTAAAACAAATCATTGTGAT